TAGTAGTAGTAGTAGTAGTAGTAGTAGTAGTAGTAGTAGTAGTAGTAGTAGTAGTAGTAGTAGTAGTAGTAGTAGTAGTAGTAGTAGTAGTAGTAGTAGTAGTAGTAGTGGTAGTAGTAGTAGTAGTAGTAGTAGTAGTAGTAGTAATCATAGAAGTAGCAGTAGTAGTAGTAGAAGTAGTAGTAGTAGTAGTAGCAGTAGTAGTCGTCGTAGTAGTGGTAATAGTAGTAGTAGTCGTAGTCGTAGTAGTAGTAGTAGTAGTAGTAGTAGTAGTAGTACTAGTGGTAGTACTAGTAGAAGCCGTCGTCGTCGTCGTCGTAGTGATAGTAGTAGTAGTAGTAGTAGGAGTAGTAGTAGGAGGAGGAGGAGGAGGAGTGGTGGTAGTAGCAGTAGTAGTAGTAGTAGTAGTAGTAGTAGTAGTAGTAGTAGCAGGAGCATTAGTAGCAGTAGTCGTAGTAGTAGAAGTAATAGTAGTATTAGTCATCGTCGTAGTAGTAGTAGTAGTAGTAGTAGTAGTAGTAGTTTGTCGTCGTCGTAGTAGTAGTAGTAGTCGTAGTCGGAGTAGTAGTCGTACTCGTATTAGTCGTAGCAGTAGTAGTAGTAGTAGTAGTAGTAGTAGTAGTAGTAGTAGTACTACTACTACTACTAGGCGTAGTGGTAGAACTAGTAGCAGCAGTATTATTAGTATTATTATTAGTAGTAGTAGTGGTGTAGTGATGGTCTCAGGAGTAGTTGTAGTCGTAGTTGTCGTGGCAGTGGTAGTAGTGGTAGTGTTAGTAATCGTGTTCGGAGTAGTCGTCGCTACAAGACCTCCCCTCCTCCCCTCATCCTTTTCTTCATCTTCCTTAGGCGTTTAATTGTAGTCGTAGTTGTAGTCGGAATTGAATGATATTTTTTGGTAGTAGTAATATCAAAATCAGTAATAGCACTAGTACTAGTAATAGTAGCGGTGCTTGTGCTGCGTCGTGTTTTTTGAAGGTGGAGGGAGGAAGAGGAGGATTTATTTCAGAAGCAGGTGGAGGAGGATGACCGCCGAGTGAAATGGGAGGGATCAAAAGTCAACGCGCCTAGAGGTTATATTTATTTAGTTGTATATGCACGTGTATATATATATATGTGGTTACACATATATATATATGTATATATATATACGTGAATGTAAATGTATATGTATATTTACACATATATATATAGACATATCGCTCTTTGAAATGAATTGTGCCTCGCCTGAGTTGAGCGCGACCGTGCGATCTCTGTGCTCAAGTTTTTTGGAAGGAGTCACGCCCGCGCGTGGCTGCCCCCGTAAATCTGGTCGGGATCGGCGCGCGCCTCGTCGAGACTTGGTTGCTGCGAGGGCGCCCCTGTCCCTCCTGCCCGCCGCGCCCGGCGCAGACCTGCTCGCTCACGCGCAGCGGGCCGGTCGCGAGCCACGCCGAGCCGCTCCGCAGTCCCCCGCCCGCCGGCGGGCCTGCCTGACTCACCGCGTGGCTGGCCGCGGCGCTTGGGGCTGGGCTCGCCTGGGCCGCGGGGCGCTTCTGGCCGCAGCCGGCCAGGCGCGGCGCGCCAGCACCGACGCCGCCGCGGGCTTTCAGGGCACCCGTGGCAACAGGGCCGGCGACGCCCAGCCAATTCGCCCAGCGGGCGCGACGACGCCATGGCTCGTGTCACCCTCGACCTGCCAGAGCCGCAGGTGCTCGTCGACTTCCCTGACGACGCTACTTGCCTTCGATGGCATCACAGATTGCTACTCATCCAGGTCAGTCCCAGCGCGTGGATAGCCAGCGCGCCCGACTACTCCGTCCAACGGCTCGACCTGAACACCTTGGGCGCGGTTGTGCTAGGGCGCAACTGCGCCTTCCCTGCCGCGCAGTGGAGCGAGAGCTACGTTTTCGACAACCCCGTACCGGCTGCTGACCTGGCGCGCATCCGCCAGCAGACGGCCTCGCTCGCCCTCGTCTCGAGTGGCCGCCCCGGCGGCCCCGGCGCCTAGCGCCGGCGCGGGAGTTCGGCGGGTCGCCGACCCGTCGGCCAGCCGCTTCCAGGACGAGGTGCCGAGCCAGATAGTCTCGGACCCGACCTCGTTCATGACGCCAGACGCTCCCAGCGACGAGGTCTACATCGGCGGGATGATCTTGATCGACAACTGTTGGACCCTTCTGCCAGCTCGTGGCCGAGGGGGGCAAGGGCGCCCGGGCGCGTGCGCTGTCGTCGTGCCACAAGCGGAACTCTCGAGTCACAGGAGACGAGGAACCCGGTCACTCGCCAACGCGTCATGACCTTCTCGGAGTCCTTGGGCTTGCAGCGCTCGTCTCCCGAGCCGCCCTTTCCGCTGGGAGAGCAGAGGGCCGCGCTCGAGCATGTCCGAACCCTGCGCGCCACTCGCATGGAGTGGGCCACGCGCCGCGTGGACTTCGCACGCAAGTCGGGCATTTCGCCCAAAAGCAACATCACGCGCGCGCATCGGCGTCTTACCGACGCCCTGCGCGCTTTCCATCAGCAGGACCTGCCGAGCCTCGCCGGCGTCGAGGTCCTCGCTCGAGATGGCGGTCGGCCGCAACCTTCGGGACCCCGATTTCCAGGACCTCGACGCGGCGTTCGCCTCAGCCGCCAACGAGCACGGCGGCCTCGTTCTCCCGGAGCGCTCGAAGGACATCGCGCCGATCCAGAAGGCCGAGGTTTCACCGTGAGGCGGCAGCGGCAGCGGCGCCAGGAGCAGCTCCCCCGCGCCCGCGGCCGCGGCTCGGGCGCAGCCGACGACGGAGGCGGCGCCGGCGGCGAGGGGGGCGGCGGCGGTGGCGGCCGCGGCCGAGGCCGCTGGCGTGGTCGCGACGGCGGACGTGGACGCGGCGGTCGGGGCGACGCCCCGGCCGCAGGGGGCGGATGACTCGACGTCTAGGGCCGCGGAGAGGCGGCGCTCGCCCCGGCGCCGCTCGGGGCGCCCCGTTTTGTGACAAGTTGCGCTCGCGGCGGGGGCGCTGCCCGCCGGCCTCTCGCGCGGCGTGCGGCGGCGGTGCAGCCGGGCCATCGCGGCATTGGATGACCGGGGCCCCCCGCTGGCGGCCGCGCGGCGCCTCGCCTCGGTTCTCCCGGCGAACGCTGCCCGAGCGTCAGCTTTGCAGCGCGCTCATCAGCGAGCGGCCGCCTTCGGCGACCTCCGCGGCGCGGGCGGCGATGAAGCGTTCTGTTTTCTTCTGAAGTCCAAGGACGTCTACTGCGCTCGTCCGACTCCTGCTCGGTCCTACGAGCCGCATCTTCTCAGAGTTCTCGACGGCGGCATGCGACCGCTGCCCGTCCGCTCTCTGGCGCCTGCCTCGCTGCTGCCGCTGATCGACCAGCCTGGGGAGTTCATCGACGGGTCGCAGGCGGTGCTGGACAGCATGGTCGAGGCCGGTGAGCTCCCTCCAGCGCGCCCGTTCTGGGGCGCCAACCTGCGGCGCGACCCAGCCTTCCGGCTCGACCTCTTCAAGAGTCTCGCGCGCGTCGGGCCGAAGGGCGCGCGCGCGGCGCCGCGCCCGCGCCAGTCTATTCTTCGCTGGCAAGAAGGACGGCGCGCTACGGATGGCGATTGACGGCCGGGAGCCCTCGGGCATGCGCCGCCGACCTGTTCGGACTGAGCCGGTGCCCGCTGCGGCCCTCAGTTGCCTCTGCCTCGACGCCCACCTGCTGCGCGACAGCGACTCCGAGCATCGCGGGGCCAGTGCTGGCCTTCGTCGGGGCTTCAACCAGATGCAGCGGCTCGAGGTCGGCAGCTGGTTCTGCTTCGACTGCCCGATGGCCATCCGCAATTTCGACGCGGACCGCGTCCGCGACGAGGTGAGCCGGGAGTGCGTCCACGCCGACCCAGACACCTTCGTGCACCCGTGCTTCCAGGGACTCGCCATGAGCTGGGGCTGGTCGCCCTACATCTGCAATGCCATCGTAGAGGACGCCACTCGTGGCATCGGCCAGGTGCTGTCCATCCCCGCCGACGACGTGAGGACCGTCTCCGAGCGGGCCCCCCGCGCGCGACTTGCCCTTGGCGAGCTAGCTGGCCTGCGTCGACAACTCGAACGTGGCGGGATCGCCCCGCAGCCTCGTCGATGCAGCGCTGGAGGCCATCCTGCGCGAGTTCGAGAGGCGGGGCCTCTCCTTCCATGAGGTCTCCTACGCGACGCAGGACTTCGCGTGTTCGGCGTGCGCCTCGACTTCGTCCTGGGCTGGGCGGTGCCGCAGCGGGGGCGCGCTTGGCGGCTTCACCGCTTCGCCGGGCGGTGACAGCCTTGGTGGGCCGCCGCGGCAGCGCGCCCGCGGCCGTGGAGGTGCTGCTGGGCCACGTCGCGCACCACTTCGTGCTCGCGAGGCCTGCCCTGTCCGCCCTGATCAGGCTGCCCCGGGCCTTCTACTGGTCGGCCGATCACGTTCGACGCGGAGCAGTTGCGCGAGCTGAACCTCGTGAAGGCCCTGATCCTGTTGGCCGGGGTCGACCTCGGGGCGCGCTGGCATCCGCGGGCGCATTGCTCGGGCGCCAGCCTGCGGGGCTACGCCGTGGCCGCGTCGCACATCGACGCCGACGAGCTGAGGGGCATCGGGGCTCACCGAGGGCGCTGGCGCTTCTTCGCTCTTGACCGGTGCGCCGACGACCCTGGCGACCCGCCCAGCGCCGAGATCGCCGCGCTGGCCGGCTTCGCCGCGAGCGGGGGCGACGACGCCGCCTTCGCGGGCACGGGCCGGCCGCCCCCCGGGCGAGGCGTCGCGCGGCGCCGGCAGACGGCCGGGATTGAGGTCGAGACGGCGGCAGCCGCCGCCAGAAGAGGCGGCGCTGCCAGATTCGGTCCTCGAGCCCACAGGTGGCAGCTGGTCGTGCGCGGCGCCGTCCTCCTCCCGGCGCCGATCCGCGTCCTTGAGGGGCGGGCGACTCCTCTGGGGCTCAGGCGAGCCGCCCGTTCGGCGGCGGCTCATGGATGCCGCGCGCTGTCCGTGGGCGACAACCTCTCGTCGACGGTGGCTTTCGAGAAGGGCAGGCGCGCCAGCCCGGCCCTGCGGCAGCTTGCCTGCTAGTCCGCGGCTCGCTAGCTCGCCGCCGGGATTGCGACCTGCCCTCCGAGCTGGCCAGGTCTGCCAGTCAGCTCGAGGCGTCGGCCGCCGTGCCAGCTGACCGCCCGGCGGCGGCGGACGGGCCCAGCCGCCCCCCGGCCGCGGAAGGAGCTGGGCCGCGCCGCCTCGGAGCTCAGCCGCGTGCCTGGCGCCAAGCACGGCGCGTGCTCGAGCTCTTTGCCGGCCGCGCCCGCCTCGCGGCCGCCTGTCTCGACGAGGGTCTCCAGAGCTGGGCCCCGGTCGACATCTCGCGGGGCCCGTGGCGCGACCTGACCGACAAGCGCTCGATCCGTGTGATCCGCCCCCTGGTCGCGAGCCAGGGCGCGCGGCGCGTCCACCTGGGCGCGCCGCGCGCGCCCTTCAGCCAGGCCGCCCCAGCGCGTGGCCAGGCCGAGCATTTTGCCGATGGTAGTGGGCCGCCTTCACTACCGATGTAACTCGCCTTTGTGTCCGATGCGGCGTGCGATGGTCAGTCGAGAATCCCCCCCCCCCCAATCGTCACTTTTACGTCACCGCATTAGTGCCACTACAATTGCCGCTACTTGAAGCCCACCACTCTGGCCACCGATCTGAAGCCTCTCCAGGCCCTGGGTTCCAGCTGCCCCCGCGATCGCGTTCGCGAGGTCCTTGAGGGCCCGGTTCGGCTTGGCCCCGGCAAGGGCGCCGTCTGGAAGACCAGCCTCGCCGGTCGGCATCTGGAGGCGCTGGCTCGAAGGAGGGCCAGCGTCCTGCGATCGTGCGCCCCCTCTGCCGGCTGTCGCCATGGTGCTCGCCCTGAATGTTGAGGCGAAGCTTGCCTGGCAGCCGCCGCCGGGCGTGCCGACTGGGGGCCGACGCCGGGCCCAGTCTGCCCGCCTGCTGGGCATCAGGAGTGGCGCCCAGACCGCTGGGGCAGCAACGTCGCGCAGGCGCGCGCCGCCGAGCGGCGTCGCCGTCGCCGGTTCGGCGAGGCCAGCGGGGGCCGCCGAGCACTCCCTCGCGCTGTTTCGCCGCCGGCCAGCACGCGCCCGCGCCGCCTTCGAACCGCAGTGGGCCAGCAGCGGCCCGCCCGCAGCGACGCGGCCCACGGGGACATCCTCGCCCGGCGCCGAGTGAAGCCGCCGACGCAGCGCAGCACTACAGCCGAGCCGCCGCTGAGGCGCGGCGCTTTGCGGAGCGGCGCCGGCGCCGGCAGTCCACGCTGGCGCAGAGGGGCAATGCGACGGACTACCTGCAGAGCATCTTCCTGTCCAGGGACGGGATCTTCGCCGCTCGCGCGGCCCTGCAGGGGCGCGCGTTCGAGGGCCGGGTCAACCCGAGGGGCGCGGCCGAGTTCCCGAGGGCCCGGCTCGCGTTCAAGGGCTTTCGCGAGGGCGTCGCCCAGGGGGCAGAGGGGCCCCTGCCCGTGGGAGGCCGCCCTGCCGATCATCGACCAGCGCCTCAGCTCCCCGGGCGGCTCACGGGGGCCGCCGTGGCAGTTGCCTTTGACGGCTACCTTCGGCTCCCGGAGCTGCTGTGCCTGAAGGGCTGCGTCGCGACCTGCCCCCGCCACTCCGCGACGTTGGCCTGCCCCCGGGTCTCGACCACCCTGGGGCCAGCTCCATCCCCGGACTCTCCGCGCTCAGTGACCGCGAAAGCCGGCGATTACGGCGACGCGGTTGCTTCCGGCGGCGGCGCATCCGCGACCGCCCCCAGGCGCCGGGTGGCGCGGCTGCTTCGAGACCGTAAGTCAGCCACGCCAGCGACCAAGCCACCCGTCAGGCGGCTGATGCAGCTGGCCCGCAGCGCCTGCGGCTCTGCCCCCGCGCCCTCCGGCGCGGCGGGGCGTCCCTCGCCGAGAAGCAGCGGCGCGGCTGGTGGAAATGCGCCGCCAGCGTGCGACGGCATGACAAAGCCGGCTGCCTGACTCGCCAGCTTGCTAAGTTGTCTAACCTCCAGTTGACAGCCGCTGCCCTCGCGAGTAAGAAGCTTGCCGCCAAAGCCTCGTTCGGTTTCGCCTGCGCCAGATCAAGGTAGGGCCTCGCCAGCTACCAGTATGGGGATATATGGGTCGTCTCAGTTTGCAAGTTTTTCTCTTGCACGAGTTGCATGATTGACTTTGCATGTGCTGGCAAACTTTCTGGATGCATAGCTGCCCTCGGCAGTTCGATGCCCGCCTTGAGAAAAGTGAAGCTTGACATTTGACAGGCTGCCGCCATCCCTGGTCGCGTGTGGAGAGACTCCTGCATATTGTCGCTCTTTGAAGTGAATTGTGCCTCGCCTGAGTTGTGCGCGACCGTATGATCTCAGCGCCCAAGTTTTTCGGTCCGGCGCCGTCCGCCACGCCCACGGCCGCCTGTGTCGCCTCAGTTCGCAATTTTTCTCGCGCGCGAGCTGTCTGATTGACTTCGCATGTGTTGGTAAAACCTTATGGATGCATCGTTGCCCTCGGCAGTTCGATGTCTGCCTTAAGAAAAAGTGAAGCTTGATATTCGACGGGCTGCCGCCATCCCTGGTCGCGCGTGGAGGGGCCTCTGCATTTTGTATATGTGCGTGTATATGTATATGTGTATATACATACATTTACATATGTGTGTGTATGTATGTATGTACATATATATATATGTATATGTATACGATTGGCGGCCCATCCCGCTAATGCGCCTGGGTTGTAAGTCAGAGGCCTCCCGGGGCCCTCTCGGTTTGTTTTGGGGCGCGCGTGGCTCCGACAAGTTGTGCGCGAAGCGCCGGGGAACCGCGGGGGGCGCGCCGGGATCTTTGGAACGGTCGAGAATTTGGGGCCCAGGCCATTTCATTTTCAACCGTGAAGACTGAGGACTGGGGACTACAATGGGCCTGATGGCATTCCAATTCCCTCCCCGCGGCAAGGTGGTGGACATTGGAAAGGCCTTACGGCCAGTTGCGCCGACCCTGAAGGGGGATCAGGAGGCTTCGGGAAGGCTGCAAGGGTGCCGAGGAGCGCACTAAGGCAGGCTGACGAATCTTTTAAAACGTTTTGAAACATTTCGAGACTGGAGAAGAGACGAAACACAATACCACCTCGATCGAAGCCGCCTATATCGGTGTATGCCTATCTGTGTATGCGTATATGTGTATACATACATACATACATACATACATACAAACAAACATACATACATACATACATACATGCATACATACATACACACACATACATGCATGCATACATACATTCATACATACATACATACATGCTTACATGTACATGTGTATGTGTATGTATGTTGTGTGTATGCATGTCTGTATACATGTTTGTATGGATGCATGTATGTATGCATATATGTATGTATGTATATATGTGTATATATGTGTGTACATCTGTGCACACACGTATCGAAGACGCCCACGGCGAATCACCGCCGCCCCCTGCCTTTTTGGAAGCGCCTATGTGGCCGAACGTTGACTGGAGTAGCTTTTGGAGGGTTCTAAAGTGCGGTGGCCGCCTTGCTCCTCCTCCTCCTTCCATCTTATTATCTTTTCTGGCGTCGGTTACTGCCATCGTCGTGAACTCCTCTCGTCGTCGTCGTCGTTTGTTGTCGACGCCATCCGATTCGTCACCATCGTCTTAACTTACTTAAATCGACGTCGTCGTTTTTTTCGCGCAACCGTCGTCGTAATCGTCGTCGTCGTCGTTGATATGATCGCGTTCCTCGTCTGCCACATCGTCGGCCCCCCTTCCTGCGAGAGCCACCAGCTCGAGGGCCACGAGGGCCACCTGCAGGCCACCACGAGCCGAACTACTGCTGTTGATGATCATCATCCTCGTCTTCTCCCATCCCTGCTCATCCCCCTTCTTCTCAGCCCCTTCCTCGTCTTCCTGCTGCTGTTGCTGTTGCTCATCCTGAGGTCCTCCCCCGCCTTCCCCTCCTCGAGGATCTTCGGAGACGCAAGACTAGGGGCGACGAGGGGCCCCCCGAAAGCCAACTCCAAATGTCTCAAACAATGGCCATCCCCTGAGAGGAGACGGAGGAGGGGGAGGAGGGGGAGGAGGAGGAGGAGGATGGGGAGAAGAAAGAGCACTTTGGCCGAGTTGCGAGCCCGAGGGGGCGTCCAGGAGCAAGAAGGCGATGCGATATGGGGGAGAAAGAGAGAGAGAGAGAGAGAGAGAGAGAGAGACAGAGAGAGAGAGAGAGAGAGAGAGAGAGAGAGAGAGAGAGAGAGAGAGAGAGAGAGAGAGAGAGAGAGAGAGAGAGAGAGAGAGAGAGAGAGAGAGAGAGAGAGAGAGAGAGAGAGAGAGAGAGAGAGAGAGAGAGAGAGAGAGAGAGGGGAGGAGGACGAGGAGAGGAGGATGAGCAAGCAAGGAGCAGGTAGACGATAAGGATGTGGAAGGGGAGGAGGAGGAGGAGGAGGAGGAGGAGGAGGAGGAGGAGGAGGAGGAGGAGGAGGAGGAGGAGGGGGAGGAGGAGGAGGAGGGGGGCGGGAGATGAGGAAAAGGAGGGCGCGCGTCCACCCCCATCACCAACGGCCTGGAGATCGAGCGGCTGGTGGATGCAGGCCACGCCGCCCGCCCGCCCGCCCAGCCGGTGTCGACATGAAAACAGGGAGGAGGAGGGTTAGGGTTGAAGCACGACGAAAGAGGATAAATACTGATGGCGGCGATTATGAAGGAGGAGGGATATCATGAGGGAGAAGGAGGCGATGATGGAAATTGCTGATGACGAGGATCGAGAGTGAAGGATGATGGAGAAAGAGGATGGGCACTCATGGCGAGGAGGGGATAGGGGTTGAAGGGTAACGGGATCGGGAAAGAAAGAGCATGGGGGGAACGGTGATGAGGATGCATGATGAATAATTCATGAATCGTGGAGCCATCTTGGGGTTATCTCGGGGCCATCTTGAGACCATCTTGACTCGCGAGTGTTGTAGTATAGGCCATATTGGGGTCGCGCCTTACCCGAAGCTATCGCATTGAATGCTGGCGTATTTT